CGAGGATATATTCTTGCGAAGGATAAGGGACGGATGTGTAGCTCTTTGGAAAATCTCGCTTCAGGATGGGTCACGCTCCTGGGTTCCACTAAAACGGTAGTGAGATGCGATTACAGGGCCCGTGAAATGACTCGCGGATGCAACGGGATGTGCAAGCCACTATTTTTTGCCCTCCCAGCTAGGAGGAACTGCGACTTCAAGAGAGTCAGAGACTTGGCTTAGTCGACATTCGATCCGCAAATCTTCCTATGCAGTACAGGCGCTGTTTGTCGACGGGGGGGCATTTTGTACTACCATTGCTTCCCTAGTTCCGGTTTACAAATCTCACCCTGGTAAAACTTGTGAACCTTGTGAAGCTGGTGCAAGATCGTCTAGCCACCATCCTAAAACGTGTCAACTCGAGAAAAGGCTACCTAGATGGGTCGGCACATCTATGGAAAGCAGAATGCCCCCCCCCCCCCGTCGACAAACTGCGCCGGAAAACACCCCATATCTGAGGAGAAAAAAGAGGCGTTCAGAAGTACATAGACCCTAGAGTAGCAACAGCTGCGAGGGTCCATTCGAAAGACAGACAGAGGCGTGGTGTAGTTGATATCGTCGCAATTCGGTAGAGCAGTGCCAGAAGGCGTGGACTGATCCCACCCCCACGGCGCTTCTGCCCAATAGTGGTCGGTTCAAGTAAAAGACAACCAATGGTAGAAAACGCCGCGGGTGGGCTCATGTCACGCCTCCTGACACCGCCCGGCCGGATAACGAAAACAAGAAAAGAGAGTCGGCACGGGGAATAAAGCGTTACCGGAACGCCCCTTTATTTTCCTGTATGGGTTGCGATGACAGAGAAAGGGCAGTTTTGTGTCGCTACCCGACGCTGACTGTGCGTTCCAGGTGGCTTGAGTCGCGCGCCGCCAGCCTGTTTCCACCATTTGTTAGCGGAAACTCAATCCTCGACACGCCCCGTCTTCCAAAACAGCGAACCAGTTTGTAGAAATACTGTTGAATGAAACAATTCCATACCTGTAAGGATGGTGCCAAGAATCAGAGCTACGCTCATAATGATGTTGCTCGTAAGCGTGTTTATGCTATGCATCACTTTGCCCATTGCCATTGTGAGAGCGATACCGAAAATCTGCAAGAAAGGAAGTTTTCCTCGCCATCGATCCAATACTTTACGTCAGATTACATTGATATTTTTACATGTGCTCCTATGTACTTCTATAAGAACACAAAAATGTTCTAGTATTATTTTTGTATTATTTGCATTAGTATTTATATACAATTTTCAGTAAAAAAAAGGGGAATTAGAAGAGGACTGGCGAAAGGGGTGTGTACTCCCGGGAGTACACAAATAGGAGGAAGAGGAGCCTTCGCATGTACACTCGAAATCCCTGAGATGAGGTAGGCGTGGCTGCGTACTTCAACTAAACGTCGTGGTGGCTATGCTTTTGGAGAGATATTTTCATTTTGACCCAAATGTGGTCACGTCTCTGTCCAACAAAGAACAAGATGGCGGTTGTCTCAAATTGAAATATCCCACGAGTAACAGTTCTGTGCCATGTTCGAATGCCACGCCTACCCCATCTCAGGGATAAGGAGTGTATGTACTCTCAGAAGTGCCCTCGAATGAGTTAAGGAGGAAAGGAGTAAGAGATCACCTGAGCACTCGCGTTCAGCAGACCGCTAGTCGTGCCTTCGGCAGCGGGGAATGTTATTTCGGCTGCAAATTCGAAGCCAATCGGAAGATATCCAGTCATGAAGAAGCTGAAAAATACACGTCAATGCAGAAAACCGCTAAATAAGTTTCTTCAGAATTCGTTCTCACCCAAGAACAGCAGCATTCACGAATACTATGGCCAAATAGCCGAGGTTCAAAGTGAAAGTGAAGGTTAGCATGGCGAGGAAGGAACAGAAATAATCGAGTAAAGTGGTTAACCTGAAAGCAGCCAATGGAGATTGAAAAGACGGAATGGAGCTTCAAAGCTGAGCCCAAGCTTCGGTTTTGGTTGTGACAGTTCTTCAAGGTCTCGCCCTGCCGTTGGGTGGAAATTTCGCCAAATACGACCTCTCACCTAAAAACTTCCTCCTCCCAGTACTCACCCACATCCTACCTACTATCTGCCGGAAATCCCCTCAGCTTTTACCACTTTTCTAGAGAAATTCTCCAGTTTCCCACTACTTGTTGTCGCTTGCTACCACAACAGTTGGTGGAGGACAGGTTGGCGCCGCGCCAAGTCTTGCCCCCCCCTTGACACGCCCCTGCACTCGCAACGAACAAGACTTCACCCAAGGTTTGGCACAACATTTCATTAGGATTTCTACCGTACCATAAAGCCCTTCTCCTCTTCTACGATTTGAAGGGGAAAACTAATCCATTGGTATGCCAACGTACTTGAACTTCTTGAATCTGTCGAGTAAGAAGCCACCAGCAACTGAACCGAGCATGCCGGATACGACGATCACGACACCAATCTGACCGATCGCAACCGATTCCTCCTGGATAGAATGGCAGTACCATCTGAGCTAGCAAGGTCGAGACGGCATAGAACACTCCGGTATTGATACCCTAAACACTTCGTTTGATAAAGTGCCCACAGGCATGGTAGTAATGAGCGAAACTGGGCGCTGTTTGGACTGGGAGGGTGTCCCTCCTTTCCACTATTTTCTTTTAAAGGATAAAAGGATAAAGTCTTCGCCGTTGATCAATCCCTTTGGATGCGGCACGCATTCTACTTCCATTCAGAATCGTAGTGGCTTATTGAATGCGATGTGGCCTATACAATGACTTGCGGTGGCCAGCCGATGTACAAGTCAGTGTTTTATCCTCCCAGACGAATCTGGTACCAATTCACCGTCCCCGGAGGGTAGAAGGCTTGGTTGGCCTGGGCGGGAGTCGACCCGGGATTCGAACCCGGGACCGCGCGAATGGTGAGCGCCCCACTTGTCACTACACCATCTCCGCCTCATTTTATTTCTTAAGCTCATATAACCAACCGATACTGTAAATTCGTGTAACTCTACGAAATGGCGCATGTGAGCCACTCTGGTTTCAGGAGTTCATAACAGGCCGGCTCGAACTGCGCTATTCGGTGCCTCCACCAGGCCGAACTGCGCCCGAATCGGCTATTTAGCACGGCCTGATCACAGGAAGGCTTCCGACCATTCAAGCTTAAAAGTCCACAGCATTCACGCTACTCCATTTCACGCTCCCAGAGGGTCCCCGAAGAGCGTGCCACCAGGTGCATACACAGGTATCATCCCTACAAAGGCGATGTGATGGAGTGTGGACTGTAACGCAGTCGGGGCAGCTTTTTCCAGCAATGTTGCAGAGACGCCATAATGCATTCAATTGGGGGAAGCTGCCCTGGTGCCTGTCAGTCCCACGCACTCTTCACGCGCTGTTTCCTTGGATATAACTAGGTAAGGCGACAGCACTGCAAAAGAGAAAGTTCTTGTCTACAGAGAGCCCTGCAGCCGCTGGAATAAGGGTCCAACGAGGCCAATACGGACCTCCTGTCTAGCAGCCCGAATACGATATCTTGAAGCGGCTTATCTTTTGCCACAGTTCTTGACGTGAGCTGCGCAGAAACCTCGTGGGTTCGAACACTGAGCCAATTGAGACTCTTTTTTTTCGCAACGCCACTATATTCAAAAGCTAGGAGGCCTCCCTCCATGAGGTCAGTGTTTGAATGAGACCTCGGCAGATGTCCGAGATGTTTTTCTGGACCACGAAAGTCGTTCGACAATAATGTCTCACATTTCGAGGTGTTTATTGGAGTTTAATTGCTGGTGTTACACAATATTACTCCCACAATATTTACCAGCTGCCGTCATTTGCTCATACTACTGTAGCATTTGCAGTAAAGCTTGCATTCTGGAACACCCAAAATTTTGGCGCAAGGGCACCAAATGGTGCTCAGTTGAAGTTTTGTAAGAGGGCACCTTGTGAAAACGCTGCAATTTCCTGTAACTAAGAAGCTCTCTTCGTCATCCATTTTACAGGCTTTGCAGGCGAATGTATTGACTAATGTACCTAATAGTTGACATCAAAACAGGGCGCATACAAAATGCCCTCCCTAAGCCGAACAGCGCTCACAATCAGTCTGCTCTGATGATTCCCTGGTTGGGAGAGTCGAGAAACTCTTTGTGATCATGGGGAATTGATCCGACGAGGAATAACTGGCACTAGAGAGATTTAGTAAAGTATCCTAGGTTTCCGGGGTGTTGTCAACCAAACGTGCTCTCACTGCGAGGGTCCAGGGGCGTTTGCACGATGCATTTACCTGTCCAGTAGTTGGAGGGAGAAGGTAAAGGAGGAGGAAAGGAAGAAAAAGAAGGAAGATACCGCCCCTCCTGAAGGGAGGGGGAAGAAGAAATGAAAGAGAGGAGAGGCTTCCCGGTTGACAAGTGCCCTGAGACGTACCTGTCCGTAGCGCGCGACGGACTTTCCCGGCCTTTGAGGCGATTTGGTCACATGTCGTCGCAAGCGACGAACGGCTAGGTATTGCGGCCCGTGGTTGGGACAAATGGTACCAGGACACTTCCTGTCGCTGGGAAAATTTTTGCAGAATGCGCCCCCCCCCAAGTTCCTCCTCTGGTACAACCCTCCCCTTCGCCATGCTGCCTATCTGAGTTTTCCCAACTTCCAACCACTTTTTGCAAATTTGTCCAGAAATTTTAAAATTTGGTCGGCACTAAACAACTGCTGAAATCAACTGTCAATAGTTGCATTGTATTTGGCGCCGCTAAGTTGGAATCTGTACAGGGACCATTTTTTCATAATCGTGACAATAATGCGGGGTCATAATCAAGAATGACTCACCGTATGTCACGAACAACAGCACGAAATCCTTGCTGAGCATGAGTTTTGCCAGTGTTCGCCAGAAATTGCTATCGAGAGCTTTTTCTTCTTGTGCCGTGATCTGAGCCAGACTTGGTGGAGTAGGCGGTCGGGCCGAGAAAACTAAAAGCTCTTCATCTTTTGATGCTGAAAGCTACTCTTCAAACAGAATTTCAAAAGAAAACGAACAGCAGACGATCATAGCGAAAATGGCAGTATTCAGTAAGGCTGAGCACAAGAATAGATAGGTGAGTCGAGTGGAGACTTCCTCTTGGGTGCCGTTTCTGACGATAAGCGGTGGAATGAGGAATCCGGCAGCGATACCCAACTGAAAGGGGACTATTATGTAATTTGGCTTGTTTGACAACACTTTCCACGCTGGTCCTATGGGCGGAGTCACTTGTACAGCTGCTCCTCTGACATTGGTGCCATTGCATTGAGATCACAGTGGAGAAGGGCACACCCATGAGGAAAACGCAATGATTGTAAGGCAGATTTAAAATCAACGTTCAAATAGGCGTCGATCGGTACGTTCTCATTTCAAAAGGTCACTTGGACCAATCATCTTCTCCTGGGAAGTGACTCCGCCCATACCATGGGCGTGGTATGTGCTTCTATGTTTCTGCCCATTGAACCCACCTGATTTCCAAAGACACCAGCTGCGCAAGCGGTAGAAACTTCATTAGGTCCGAACCAGACGGCTGCCAGTCGGGGTGGAATGCCAAGAGTGAACATCTGCGATGCGCCAACGATGGTTTGTCCCACGAACGTGATCCAAAACCCGTCTGAAAAAATTCAATAGAAATTCCAATCTGCACCCACAGGAGTAGGGCCTCATACCTGGGTTCGTCGAGAACATTCGAATCCATGCACCGAGTGCGTTCCCAGTGGCACCGAGCAGCAATG